CAGTTGTTCTTGGATTCAACTGAAGCCATAACGACTGGTGATTGTGACTGACAGTTGTTCTTGGATTCGACTGAAGCCATAACGACTGGTGATTGTGACTGACAGTTGTTCTTGGATTCGACTGAAGCCATAATGACTGGTGATTGTGACTGACAGTTGTTCTTGGATTCGACTGAAGCCATAACGACTGGTGATTGTAAATGACAGTTGTTCTTGGATAAGACTGAAGCCATAATGACTAGTGATTGTGAATGACAGTTGTTCTTGGATTCCACTGAATCCATAACGACTGGTGAATGTGACTGACAGTAGTTCTTGGATTCTACTGAATTGATTCGACTGAAGCCATCATGACTAGTGATTGTGACTGACAGTTGTGAAGTCATAACGACTGGTGATTGTGACTGACAGTTGCTCTTGAATTCGACTGAAGCCATAACGACTGGTGATTGTAAATGACAGTTGTTCTTGAATAAAACTGAAGCCATAATGACTAGTGAATGTGCCTGACAGTAGTTCTTGGATTCTACGGAAGTCATAACGACAGGTGATTGTGACTGACAGTTGCTCATGAATTCGACTGAAGCCATAACGACTGGTGATTGTGACTGACAGTTGTTTTTGGATTCGACTGAAGCCATCATGACTAGTGATTGTGACTGGCAGTTGTTCTTGGATTCGACTGAAGCCATAATGACTGGTGATTGTGACTGACAGATGTTCTTGGATTCGACTGAAGTCATAACGACTGGTGATTGTAAATGACAGTTTTTCTTGGATAAGACTGAAGCCATCATGACTGGTGATTGTGACTGACAGTTGTTCTTTGATTCGACTGAAGCCAGCATAACTGGTGATTGTGTCTGACAGTTGTTCTAGGATTCGACAGAAACCATCATGACTGTTGATTAATTTGGTACTGTAAACGCTTCCTCTCAGGATCAGCTACATTTGCCCCAAGTTTTAGTAACTGTTCATGGTGTTGACCTTGCTCATGATGTATTTGTTATTTGTTTAAGTGTCTGCCATGTTAATGTATGGTGTCTAGTTTCTCCCCACTCCATACTTAATCAACTGTTAACAAGAAGAAACAAATTTAACTGATATCTAACGTACTATTGTAATTACTGGTGAAATAAAGTCCAGAATTTATCTTTGTTTTTGTTTGAAACTCGTCTCACTAATTCAGTCCATCAGCAAGTCTTTCGTATGTCTGTAGGTCCTGTCCTAAGCTATTTGTGCTTAAATAGGATGCCTCCGAGGAATTCAGAGTGGGAAATGGTGACAAAATACTGTGCAATTGAAATCTACAAGTGCTTATCTTTAAAACATATATATATTTGACATGTACATTGTATAAGTTGGAGAGGGGTAGGTTATCACGTCCTGGTCATCGGTTTTGCTTGTGAATTGTCGGTTGTTTGCAATTTGACAAAAACTTAGATGCCACTAAACTACGAGTGATTAAGCTGCACGAATTCTGAAGGCATTGCAAAATTGTTATGTTATTGCCAAATAATGTAACTATGATTTCAAAAGCAAATGTTACATATTTAGAAGCCTTTGAAACAATACTTGCTTTTGAGCCTTTTATTTCATATTGAATTTGTTGTTTACGTCTGCAATCGTCCTGCTGAACTTCTCCAGTTGTCTTGGTTTCAGAAAAAACAATTTTGGAACAAGATCTTCATGTTGGCTATGCCTTCGTCTCCCTCTGATACCACGTTTTGTCCTGACCCGATTGTCGGCTATTACTGCGGTTAATAAAACCATATCGAGATTCTGGTCTTTCTAGAAACTTTCCAAAACATTTATAAAAGTAAGTAACGGCCCGTGACTGTTGTATCCTCTCATTATTTTTTTCTCTTTTTTTTTCTCTTCAATTTTTTCTTGATAATGAAAATAACGTATTGTAACAATCTTTAAAAAAGAAATATTTTTTAGATTTCCTACTTTACTGATATTGTTGTTTATTTTGTATGAATAACAAAAATCAAAGAACGCATATCCCTTTGATAAGCTCCTTTATCATTCTTTATAAAATAATCACATTTATCATTTTAATTGGTATTTAAACAAGATAAAAAATACAATGATAACAAATATACACCGGGTAAAGTTATGATAACATCACATAACTATGTCACATTATTTACAACCATTTCTTTCTCTATCTTACTTACATCTTCCTGTACAAATCTCTTGGCAAGTATTTTTTTTCAATTCAATCACTCATTAGTCTATCATTCCTTTTGTACAAAAAATCAAACAAACCTTCCATTAAATGTCATTTAACTAGTACAAACACATCCACACATTCCATGTATTCAACATCCACACCTCTTCATCATTATGCAATATTTCTGCAGTCGTCATTGCAATATTTTATTATTATAAATAACTACACACAAAATATATAGAGTTTGAAATCAAAGCGCTGTTTGTTAGTTATATTGATTCGTTGACTATAGTTTGGGATAGGTTCCGGACTATAGTACTCAGGACTTATCTATGTACACTGACAAGATAATGTATTCTTGTATACCTTGTTAGCATCATCACATTGATACCGTTGTTTTTTAGTGTTATATACGACGTTTAACTATAGTTTTGTTTTTGTTTTTCATTGGTAAACGACTCATTGACAACGAACGTCATTTCTAAAGTTAAAGCATATCGGTGTTAATGGCTACTAGTATATTATATTTACGGCAGTGGCTAATTAAGTGTTAACATCATGTGTTACATCCACTATGAAACCACTGTTTAGAACGATATTTTTCCAGATTAAAAATTTGGCGATGTTTCTAAATTATGCACCAGATTTCTATTTTAATAACCGAGTTACACATTTATTATCATGTATTTAATGTAGTTCAATATCTACGGTGCAGTCAAATTAAGAAGTTCGAGTACTTTGGTAACAGAAAACTAAAAATGTTAGAACATATCTACTACATATGATTTCGCTTATGCTTAACATTTTGCGATTAACCTGTAAGTCCGCCAAATCGCCCAAACTGAATCTCGCTAAAGTAGCCCACTATGCTCATAATATTCACAAACATATTTTCTTGGCGAATATGATCTGGGTAATCTTTCAACATTAATCTATGCACTAGTTCTCAGCCTTTAAGTTGTACGGAGGGAAACATGTTTTCTTACTAATTTTGATTATGTTTTACTATGAACATTTCGGAAAAACGAAGACGAAGGTGCTGAAACCTAAATTTTCATTTACCATTATAAAAAACTATTAAGTTTGAAATAAATTAATATGGATGATGTGTTGGAATGAAGGAATGTAGTATTGCACAAGGCCCGTTCTGTTTACATCAGTGGGCAATGTAAGCATTTCCATCTGACGATGGTAAATAAGGCAATGCAGATATAAAATCTGTTTTACAGTCATAGCATAGTCACATTTCAGCCTCTCGTTGGCTCCAAAAAACAACAGTTGGTTGCGCTCTGAAATTCGAAGAATTGCATGAGCTGTGTGAATGAGACTTCCGGCAGTGACATCACGGTAATCTGTTACACGGATACGCGTTCTCATAGGGTACTCACAGTAATTTCAACATGTAACCCTACTCAGCACATTGCAATAGTAAGCAATCAATGAAGAATCCCATCGTAACGTCACTTAACCATGCCTTCTCATAAACCACATCATAGGTTTGTGTCCTAAGCATGACGTCATCGTTTCGTGTTTGTTTAATCTTGTCACCAGGCACTGACGATTCGTGTCGTTCCTATGCCCGCCGCCTGTGTCTTGTGTCCGTTAGGAAGAGATGGTCGTTGCGTGCTGCCGTTTGACCGTCGCGGTCGAGGCTGTACCTCTGGTGGTTGTGGACGTGGTCTGTACGGCTGAACTGGTGTTATTGTTTTCTCAAGAGGCATGGATACCTTTTTGACCACCACAACAACAGTAATAATCGTGAATGATATCAGCAGCAGGGATCCAAACACTACTCCCACTAGTAGTTCCATGTTCATTTCTAAAACTGAAATAAATAACAAAAAAGTTGTAAACAAGTTGTGCGACTACTGACTTATGAACGTAAGACAAATACACGTGATAGCGCCAAACCAAATAGTAATTGATGAGGAAGCCAGAAACGAATTACACTGCACCATACAGCCGTTTCGTCCTACAAGGACTTTTCGGTGATCCTAACATGGGGGAGTATCTGAGTAATGAAAGGAATTCAATTGTCATTAATATATTTATATATATTTAATTATAAACAATTACTCACGTTGACCATTTGTGGTGCGGGCGGTTGTGGAACTGATGGCGGAGATAAATGCTGTTGTGACGGTTGTAGTAGTAGGTGTAGTAGTGGTTGCTGTGGAAACGGACCGGAAGCGCAACAGAAATCCACGTCTGTTGACGGAACCGTCACTCTCAAGTGTGACGGTCACCGTTGATTCCGTGGAGTTATTACTGTAGGATGTCACTTTTGGATATTCAGAGCATATCATTTTTATATTGTTATTGTCGCATTTGTTGGCTCCTACAATAAATATGGTATGAGATCAGCATAAAAACACCGGAATACGAGATCATAAACGTGTAGGTTGAATGTCATGTTTATGGAACACATGGTGATGTATTGGACTGTGTTTAATCATTCATTGAATGCGTATCATAGGAAACAGTGAACATTGTTCCAAAAAATAAGATGTAAATGGCCCTATATACCGTCATGAAAATTTCCAGATACATATATAGTAATGCAAGCTAAATAGGTTGTTCCCATGAGTAAGTATGTAACTACCGTTATCTTACACATGGCGTTAATATTTTACAGAAAGGATATTCACGGTAGCTTATCAACACATTCTTTTTACTGCGCCACCTACCGTCATATATCAGGTACTTATCGTAGTCACATGACGTCGGGTCGTCGTCCTCCACGTCACTTACAATTACGTCTATCTCGAGGTATCCATCTGGACTTGTCAGGGCCCATCGGCAATTACTGTTACTATAAATAGATTTGATATGACTTTGTTAACAGATTTCCGCCGAGAAACATGCTTTCCTTTTATACGACATATATAAAAGCAAGGTCTTGTGTTTGGGTCCTTGTGCATCGTTAACACTGTGATGGCTTTTACTGTATGTCTGATAAACAGCCAAGTGTAACGCATCATTGTATGAGCAGTGCATTTAACAGCTGATATGAAACTTAAGGATAAACAGAATCTTGCGCTCGTGTTTGGATGTACACAGAGATATCTCCACCAGTGGGTGAGATGTTTTGATGTTGAACATTGATTAGGTAAGACAATACAATAAACGTGCATGTCCTATACAGTCATTGCAGTTATCTACCGATGATGTTCGAATGAGTACCCGATAGAAATAATGTGTATTTCACAACTTGTTTGCAGGAGATATTTATACACCAGAAGGTCAGTTGATATCTTTGTAAACAAGTCTGTCAAAATGTGACGAATTCGCTGTAACAGGATACAAGCGTGTCATCAATTGTCACCGAGGAAGTCACGAAATGACTTTTTCACTTAACAATTTCCTGGATTGATTTACATGATACCATCATTTCTTGTGTGGTATTAACTTGTTTGCCATCTGCAGATGTCTCTTATTTCTGCAGATGGCAAACAGTTTCCTGTAGGTATTTGATAGAGCAACCGGATAAAGCTATCATCAAGGATAAGTAAAACTCTCGGTGACAACATTCATCCGGCCTCAATAGACAGTGCTATCAGAAGTGCATATATTACTGCCACGCCCTGTATTGTTATGCATGTCCCATTCAGTGCTCGTATTCGTATTTATTTAGTCCATGACAACTGTAACTGTATATAGCAACTATTGTTTACTGTAACACGATTCGCAGGAGAACTACATATTATTCGGCTTTTCACGATTATAAAACTGACGACTTGAATGCTATCATATTTGAAGCTTGCTTTTCACTTTCGTTATTGTAGATTTCAATATGAAATATTTGCATTAAATGAATTTCATGGTATCTGATACTTCTGTTGCGGGTTTTTTTCATAAAATAGTTTGTATTTGGAAAAGAAGAGGAACTGTGTATGGTCTGGTCCTCGTCATGGCGTCTATAATAGGTGAAACCACCGTGTGTATTTTAGCAGTAAAATTGCATGCTTCATATTTGCTTCTATTTGTGTTGTATATCATAAGTGTATAAAAGCATGTTTGCGATAGTACAATGGCATGAATATGCGTGACCACACATTATATCAGAGAAAAGACAAGAGGGCGGGGGAGGTATAAATTGGACATGAAAGAAGGTGGAGTTAAGAAGTTTACCTTACATAATTTTGTGTTTGTTTTTTTATAAGTGGTTTATAGACATGATACTTAGCCACGACCCGAACAGCATATCTCGAATGCCAGATAAGGATAAGTGTCACTCAGGCTGCTACCGTCTTCAGCATGATGACCCTCAGACCCGGAGAGTGTTGATAATGATGAGATATACACAATCGAGTACAAATGCTGTCTATACAGCAATATTTACCTCGGGTACTTGTCAGGGAAATTAGGGCTGGTCAGCATCTGATACGAGCTGGTGGCTGTGATGGATTGTGTGGCCGTACATCCAGTTCCCGCTGTAACAAACAGTGGCAGTGAGATCAGAGCGTTAAATTTTTGTGACGTGTTCGACCTATCTGATAATGTTCACTAAACAAACACAAACAGTGTGTAGTTCATACGTCATACACGCTGAGAAGAGTATTATAGGAATTACTGGAGATAAACTATCTGGACCAAATTCTGATTAAGTTTACTGTGGCCTAGCTGATCACACATCAGAACACTTAAGGAAACGGATTTAGAATAATTTCTATGTGGTAATATTCCTTCAAGTATTAAAGTCCTTACATCGTTTGATTGTTCTTTCCAAAATTTCTTTGGTAAATATTTACACATTTTAAATATACTTGTCTAATTACGCAATCTATTGATAAAAAATATATCGTTTCAGTATATCCATTCATCATTCCTCTAAAATGTCGAAATTTCTCGAATTTCACAGGAGGGTGGTCGCTAAAATTAACATGTAAGTGAACATTTACTACCTAACTTTGTCGCATAAAAATGTGAAACAATAGCTCGAAATCAGCGACATGTGAACGTGACTTTTGCAGCAACAACAGGGACTAAGTTAATGCGAAAACAAAACTTATAGTCATGATGAACCCTCCACAAAACCCACGAGGGAAATCAAATTCCCCGAAAGTGCATTAGATACTGTACAACAGGTGTATCCGAAAATATAAGTAACACCATTCATAGAGCATCCCTTATGTTCAAGTTACGGCAATATTTATATATTGGTGGTGTATATTTTTTATAAAGGGTTCAATAGGAAACATATCACTTTACAAACAAAAATAGGTTTCAAATAATTTGATTTGATTTTGTATCGCATTTTCGTTCATTTGTTATACATGTAGATATGCTACGTAACGTGATTGGGGTAATACATTGCCAAAAGAGTGACCTTATGTTCTAGTGGTCGTTCCGCATTGAAGAACACATTAATTGGTTAGAAAAGATTAAAATCATGTAATTGCGCCATAAATAGTATCACATAGAAATATCCGTAATGTGTCATCACATTTATTGACAAATAGACATTTTCTTAGCAGTTAGACTCTGCAGAAGGAAACATAATTATCGCCAGTAACATTAAGTAAATAAAACTAAGGAATAACATTTTCGTTATTTGAATATATCGAAACGCTAGAATAGAAATGAGTATGAACTCTATCCTAATATATAAAGGTTTATTGTTTATTGCAGAGTTTGTAATATATGTATTGTTACAAAGTTTATGACTAGGCCTTTTCAACGCCTGACAGTGTCTGGTTGAAATTTGTAGACATTTTAACATAGTGTCTGGCGTGCAACCTTTCTCATAACGTATTCTAAGTATTGAGCATCGGGAATAATTTAATATCTATAAACATGCAATTGTATTCGTCGTGGGAAAGTTATTCCTATAATGAAATATACACTGACATGTGTTTGAGAACGTGAGTTTAGCTGACATATTTATTCGACCCCATAACATTAGCGGTGTCCTACCCGGCATTTTATACAGCGTAGTGACTGATAGTGGTAATATATCAACTGGTATATTAAAAATGCCTAGTTGGGGATGTTTCAATTTAATTTGCTCTTTAAAAAATAGGATACTAAAACGAACCGTATCAAACGTTCCAACTGATTAAACATATGATTTAAATAATGGTTATAAATCAACTATCGTAAATATTAGAAAAATAGCATTGCATACTGAGGTAAAACGTTGATTTTGAGTATAGGTAGCTTCGGTGGGCTTGGAACATCTACAATTACATAGTGGGAATGTGATTCGGGCTGTTTTGAGTCAACATGAGCAGGGAGTGACAGAAACAACCTAAACACTCCACCTTTATATTCGTTAAAATTCAAAATGGCAAACAATTTTCCGCATTTATTTACAATTCTAATTCTGCCCGATTAACACTGGCAGATAGCAAAATTGCAATGGCATATATATATTCATTCAGATTAAATATTGCCGCGCTGTATAAGAATGTGACGATTTAAATTTCAGGTGAAAATCAATGACCTTTCAAAGTGGATATCAGATGCCACTGGACCACGACCTAGTAAGTACATTTGTTTTTAATTACCTAATTTGTTTAAGTGACTAATGTATTCATCAATGACTGCTTATCTGCTAGTATTAAATTTTAAATTGTAATCATATGTACCCTGTCGGGACGTCCGTGATATCATTGCCTCCCCCTAAATGAAGTCCGTAAATTGATCTACAAGCGTAAATAGGCTTTATCCATTAAAACACACTATCTTAATTATTCCCTTTCTTAATATTTCTGTTTCACAACCCTAGTCGGAACTGTTTTTATTTCACACATCTTACGTTGGGAACTATTGATAGAAATGTTTTAAATATTTTGGTTTTAATTAGATTAATGACAGTGCGTTCCGCTCTCCCTGGGGAGTTCATTGACACATCATGTCATTCTAGTGATAACGTTTGACCTATATTCCAAATATTGTATTTCTTTTCTATTAACCAAATTATTTCAAATGATACAGTCAGCATGAATTCAAATTTTTTTTGTATTTCAGTGCAGTAAATTAGCGTTAGTGTGGCTGGGTTGTGTATACCTAAGTATTTTAAACAGGTCAATGATGTCGAAAACGTTTTATTTTAAACGGGTTGGTAGAGTGAGGTAGGGTATACCGTAGTATATTATAGCGAGTCAAAGATGCAAGGAATGTTTTATATAAATATAAACTTTAATTCTTTTACAACAATTATGAAGCAATATTTTACAACTTATTTCAATCACTTTTGTTGGCCCGGATGTTACTGCGCGGGTGGTCTTAATGTGGAAGGAAACCGGGATACCGGGAAAAGACCCACGTGGTCGGGCAGGTGGCCACATACCCTTTCACGTTCGATCGGGGAATCGAACCGCGGCCGCCTTGTTGAAAGGCAAGTGTGCTTTCCACTACACCATCCGACCCCCCTTTATGTTTTATATAAACGAGTTGGTAGAGCGAGGTAAGCTGTTCTTCAGTATATTATACCAGTAATGTGAGAAAATGTTACACTATCAAAGAAGACAGAACAGTGAGGTAGGATTTATATTTAACGAGTCGTTGTGTTGACATTGGCAATATATTAGTCATTGACATTAATAATATACACATACGCCATTTCTTTTAAAATCTAGTAAAGTTCATATTCGCTGTACATGACAGAAATATTATCTAATAAGTACTTACATGTTCCACAAGCGCAGATATTATGTGTTGTAGACTGACATTAAGTACCACTCAAATTCTGATAATTTATTGCAAGTTAATATTTTAGCTATGGCAGCACTAACAATAGTTCACTGAAGCTACATTATCGACACCTACTGGATCTTTATCTCATTTATCACCAGTGCCTTATCTTCAATGACAGTTTTACTAACACAGCTTTACTAGAATACCATTCCTCACGTAATGATGACGAGGGTTAAACCACCGGGTGTCAAACACAGCCTACATTGTTTATGACCAACAACAGGGAGGTTAAAACCAAAAGTATCACAAGATGTCGATCTTATCGTTTATGCGAAACAACAGGACGATAATTTAAACAACAAAATCATCTGTTTCCAAGACAACCTTCATTATTTATGATAAAATCATTCAAAACATGTTTATGGGAAACAACGATGAGGATTAAAAAAAGATGCCAAACTCGTTGTGAAATAACATTGTTCATGAAGCAAAAATGTCACCTGATGACAATTAATGTACATTGAACTTGTTTCATATCCTTTAATTTCTACAGTGATTCGTTTCAGTGAACAATTATGACACGGTTAAAGCTTATTATCAAAATAACATTTCTTAACTTACAATAATCTTTAGCAGCAATGACGTCGATCTGAAACCCCGACTTCTCTACGTTACTGTCAGAAACCATTTCCACACGTGCGTATCGCTGGGTGGTGGAATACGGTGTTGGAGCTGATGGGGTTCCACACACGCCATTGGCCAGCGCTGTGTCTGTGTTGGCGTTACCTAGGAAACACCACATGATAAATGTCATTTTTCAATGCTATAAGCAATTTGCGGTCACAAATAATTACAGCTATTATGAAACTATTGTATACATTTATGACTTACCTTTACTAGCTTGGATGGAGTATTTTTGTGAGCAAAGGGGTTTCATACCATCTTAAGTGTTGCGAGGAGACATCTTAATTCTTATATTTACCCTCAAACAATAACGCATCGTATTTCTTAGTCTATTTTTGTTGTTCCTTTCGGTTTATGATTCATTTTCAATAAACTAATTTTACCAAATAATGACGCTGACAGGCTTGAACAAGGTTGAATTTTAATAGTTAACCTTACGGTCAAGCGACAAACGTCAAACGGAAACCATGAGGGATTTGTTTTGTCGAATTAAGACTACTCTTACATTATCACGTATTTTTTAAATAATTTTACATTTCGTTTGTGATGTTGTGGCATGTGTTTTACTTGTAATCTGTTAGTTGTTAACAACCCTGTTTGTGGGCCTTATGGCCTTATAAGTTGAAATAAATATTTTGGAAAGTCCTGACAATTTTCCGATTGCGGAACCATTTATGTATGATAATACCTAGTGTTATGGTATAGCAGTTCGAGTTCATAGATGTATTTAGAGGCTTTACACTGGATTTGTAAATACAGGTCCATCACAGGTATGCAAAACGGTAATATAAACCTATATTCAAATTAGGTTTATTTATAGTTTAAACAGTAAACCAAATATTAAACATGGACTTGACTCTTAGCTAGCGACGCTGGAGGCATCAGTTTAAGTTGGTGTCTTGCTCATACACCATGGACTTCTTTAAAACTTGCATTGATATATCAACGATCAGTTCATATTAAATATTTATCAGATTATGAGGTACATGTGTGCTTTATTACAACATTCCTTCTCCATTGTGTACATATGTCGTGACTTTCCCAGTTTAATAAAAGAACACTGAACGCCTGAATTCCACAGGCCAACTCGTGAATAACGCAGTTATGAGACTGGACAATGACTATTACACTTAACCAGTTAATATTCGGGAAGAAGAAGGAACTCTTTATGTAACAGAACATATCTATCATGGCATCACTATGTATCATAATTCATGTAAAAATATTCTTTTCGTTTGTCAACAGTAATGTATTTTTTTTACTACTCGTATCTGAAACACTCATGTGCAATACCACTTTCACATCAATAGGAAAGATTTATTTATATTATGAATTAGATAGGTTATCAGGAAGTCATTTATTCCTTTTGACAATGTTCAGTATTGTGGTGATGGCCTTGAACGACATGAGGAGAGCTGACCCGTAAACTTGAACTGCGAAGAGTACAAACATTATGAGGGATAACAATGTACAGGCACGGCCGAGTGCTGTAGACAACAGGAAATGACCGACATGGAATAATGTCACATTGTACGACATTATAGTTAACTGTCACATGTTAATTTAAATGATTAATACTAGCAAGCAAACATTATTAAAGGTTGATTAAAGAAAGTTTAACGTTAAAAAACAAGATACTCTAATTACTATTTACCATGCCACACTGGCAATGAGTTGCCATTCTTTCTGTACTACAAGAAGGAAAGAGGTTAAGATAAAACAAAGATATATTGCTCTTACCATCGTAAATAAATATTTTATCGCCGGGACATGATGTGTCGTAGGTCATAAATATCAGTAACTTTAGGTCAGCCGCCCCAGAGTCTATCAGCCAGAAACAGTCCATATCACTGAAAATCACAAACAATGTTTTCCGAATATAAAGACATACGTGTAATAAAACCAAATTAACTAGGCAGCTAAAAATGAAAAAAGGAAAGTTGTTGAAATAGTAACGTAATAAATACTACTTAATGAACTAATCAAATACAGAAGTTCAATAATTAAAACAAATAACATAGCAAGTAAACGAAACAGGCACTATGGGTGAAATACTTCGCTAAGAGCAATTCAGCGCGAAAATGCAAAAGTAGATTCCTTCACAAATGTTGCATTATCATTAAATTTAATGCTATTATCAATTAATGAAAAAGCAGAAGTCTATGCTAGAGACATAAGACAAAGACATAGAGTTAACCGAAAATTACCGAAGACAACAGAATATTGGCTTTTGTTTATTTATTTACACGTTCAAACAATAGGGAATAGTCTACAAGCGTCTGACACTCGAAGTCAAACTTGAAAATAGCTTTAAATCGGAATGTAGAACATATTTCAGTACAGTTTACAAACAGTCATTTGGAAATGTTTATTTTAATAAGGTTTGAAACTTTCTATTTATAATTTACACATAAAAAGGATAAACGTTCAATTTTAAATGGTATGTATAAATCTTCTTCATAAATTATTCTTCGATAGAAATAAAGACCACACTACAAATTGCGTGTCGACAATTTACGGAACCAAAGTATTTGCCTGGTATTTAGAGTATGTCACATTGCTTACTCAAGGACGTTTTAATTATGAGGAGAAATTTAAAGGTATATGATCAATGATAGTGTGTACTGGTGCACTGATACGTGGATTCCTATGCTATGACAAGGTCAGAAGGTACTATATCAACATAATTTATATTACAAACATAATGAAACAATTCTTAGAAATATTGCAAAGTGTCAAAACTTGCCTTGGAGGTATTTTCCAAAGTAACATTTGCTTTTTTTTATATGCAATTTCAGGGGAAGAAACTTATTGTTTGAAATTGCTTTATATTCAACTTGTTGTGATATGGTTAACCTGATAGGTTTGTAGTTTTTATTTTGATAACCGTAGAATATGAACACCTGTCGTGCATCCTGCTAACAATTACTTCTACTCGTAATTCTCATGTATCACTGAGGACATATTATCGTATACATATGCTACCTTTACGTCTATCGATAAACCTCATACGGCAAGTACAACAAAGTTCAACACGAAATACCATATTTGTTTATATAACAACATTCCTGGGGATTGTTTTAGGCAACCCGATGCCATTGTTTGCCTAACACGATTTGAGCAATTGACGTTCCATATCATAATGCTAGTTACCATATTTCACAACCCTTAATTTGGTTTACTGCAATCAATTACAGTACAAAAAAAAACCAGAAAGCGAAACACATGTTTATCGCTTTTAAAGCATGCCTTTATTAACGTATTCTAAATATGTCTGCAATGTTCGGAGATAAAGGCTTTGACATTAGCAATGGAATTGTTTTGACATTTAAAACTCACGCGCTGTAGGTCCCGGTTCCAGCATTATACCCAGGCGAGGAGAACACCGTCATTTCTGATGTGGACGGTAACACATTTGGGTCAACAACACTGCATGTTTGAGATGAAACTGAAAGCATCAATTAAGTAAATTATTGAAAGTGATGAGGAGCAGTAGTGCATATATAGAGACGTGCTGCGAAAACGTATTTGTGAAATAAATCATTTGGAATTAAACATATGCAGAATCGTTTGAATCGACGTGAACTGGGTAGCTTCATAAACCGTGTGATAGTTACTGCATTTACATTGTACGTTGTAACCAAATACAATAAAATGGTAAAATAAACAACGAATTTTACATCCACGTGTTTCGTACACTGTACATTCTATATTACAAAACTTCATAAATTCCAAAAACGGTCCAAAATATTTATTGAAATCTAAAAAAAATTATAAAAGGAATCATGTATGCAATGTGTCATTTAAATGCACTCTTGACATAGCTTAGATGAAGCAGAATTTTGTTTCATGTAAAAAATACAATACACTATATAATTTAAAAAAAATATCATTATGTTAAAATAGAAGGAAAACACAAAAACAAGGTAAATTTGCACATTGTGTAAATGAGGTATTCATTATAATGACACGGCAGGCAAACAATATAGCGAATTTGTAGAAATCTGATGCGTCTAGCAATTTGATCGCCCAAATAAATTATATCAGCAATGCATTATCATTTTGTTTCATTAAGTTGTGGTTATATGCATACCGCCTGCTAATGGCCTAGGAACTACATAAAAAATCTCCCATTATTATTGAATAGAAATAAAATAGAGGTGACGTTTATGTCAAAGCTAATTGACTCAAGTTGATAAAAGCTGAATGAGAGTCACACCACGCCAGAACAGAAATGTTACTGGGCTGGTGTCGAATCTGGCTTATTGTAAGGTTTACGTGGTCCTCTGTCAAGGGACATACGTGACAGCGGTCTGATGCATGGTTTGAATCGTATTTTGTGTCAGGTATTTATGTGATAGTTAAACGGACTGAATATAGCAATGCCACTTTACAAATGTGTGTAAATGTTTAAATATGCATGAAAGCAAGAAATCGTTATAAAACCCTGTAGTATTTCAGATAAACCAGGTTTAACACACATGCAATTTATTAAGGAATAGTCCATCCACCCCCTTATTCATGTTTTTTGTTTCTCTAAAATATTCCAGATACGAACAATATGCATATCAATTACATTATATATTCTGTAATCAGTATAACATTACATTATTTATTTGTTGCCAAAAGTAATGCTGACAGAGCCTGCCGTTAAATACTAATTGGCATAGACATGTATTTTTGTTACATTCCCGAGATAATATATGACAGACTTACCGAATGTGACCAGTACATTGGCAATACACAGCTGTAGCACGGTCAATGGGTATTTCCTACCATCGGCGCACATTGACATGATCAGTTTATTCTGAAATCAGAAAAAATAAGCTATTATTGTACTTACATGAGGTATTATTATATTAAAAAATATAACATTACATATAGTTTGTTTCAGCTTTACCACCTATATAATGACGAGAGTTTGAATAAAGGAATACTATATGATTGTTAGACGTTTTATCATCAACTCCCGTAAATGATATTTAGACCGCTATAACGTCATCTCCAATTATCAGTTAAGTCATACACAAGGAATACATTGCATTTTTGTCATTCTGTATCATCACGTGAGTGTCTTACTATCGTCTGTCTATTTTATCACGGCCTTTGCTGCTAAAGATCATAATATTTTCCTATAAAAAAAACCTTGGATAAATACTCTTTTCTCGAACGATATTGATTGTGGAGTGTTATGCAAAATAATCTTATTAAAATATAATGATAGATCAGTAAAAAAGAAAAAAATACAAAAAACAAGAGAATAGCCTGAACAAGACCATAATTCGAAGACAATGCAAATGACAAATATTATTTCTTAATTATTTGGATACATTCAGAAAAAGAATCAGTGTTATTGTCTATTATTGAAATAATATTAAATCATTCTCATCATTGCCAGTGTATTCTTCTGGAAATTAAATAATTGAGTGATATATATTCATACCTGAATAAAATATGAATTCAAGCCAAACAAAAAAATGTTAAAGAGGAATAGTAACAGCTCTATTACCAAGTTATAAATTTTTAGATAGTATTATATTCCCTCATGAATTTGTGTCTGTAAAACCTTCCTGTACTGTCCAATATATGTAATTCTTTAAATGTGTACAAAGTGTGTAACAAGTTATTCTTTCCCACAGTTGATCACCACGTACCTGTGTATAATATACAGTCCTAACGGTAACACAGCAGTGTCTTGGGATGTACCTGTGGCGACAGCTGTGATATACGTGTACACGGTAATTCCCTTTTTACCTGAGTCCCACACACTCTGCACATTAAAGGGCTACCCCGAGTCTGACGCATCGGTAGACATCCTAGTGATTATATACACAGCTAGTGTGATCACCGTGCTAAAATTGCGATTTGTCACACACACACACATACACTTCTCAATTGTCCGGCAGTATTCTGAAACCATGGTATCAGACATTTACCTCAAGCAGAGGGGCTCGAAATCAGGCCAATTTGTCCATAATTGTGCATTGTACTCAGAGTATGCAAGATTTAAATTTTGTATAGCGATCCTTAGCCTGTGGTTTCGCGGTTCACATGTAAGCAGAACAGTTAACATAAGGTCAAAGTCTTCCACTGGCTGGTTTGCTTAGGGCAGGAAGCAGAGTTCTAGGTCGAAGACAAGCTCTCCCCCTCAAAACACTCATTCACAATTGTACTAGATGACTTGAATTTACTTCAGTTGCAAACATGAATGAAACAACAGTCCTCGTGGGGAGAAATCTAAGGTGGTCTCGGTTTAAGTTTATCAGGCGAAAATCTCGTGGGGACACTTACAGCATTGTTAGCCTTTAGAACACATACACGACCGTTTTAGGAATATTTAGGCCAACAGGAAACATATTCGACACAGTGGACTGCCAGACGATATCAATTAATTTCTTTGAAATAATCACTGTCAGTTCAACTCATGAATAATGGTTGATAAGTGTACGCGAATGACAGACGGAAGCGGATTTGTCGCAATGATAACATCTTTGCCTTACCTTTTAATTGTCTTCGTGTCCTTTCATTGTCAACACAATACTTGCCACTAGACCGTCGGTATGACATAGGTTCCGTTTGTTTTGCACTCTTTAAGTGCATTTTCAGTGGTAGATAATGTGAATTGTTGCATCGGCAAATATTCACAGTACTATTCCTAATAAGTGGTGTTTTGCAATGTTTAAAAGATCCTTTTTATACCTAATTGAGCTCATGAGTAGATGAGTTTTAGATAAGGAGACACCCCACGTAACAGGATCGGCCGGTAGGTGTTCCAGACATCATGTAACATAGCCCTTCTGTGACATTAACCTTACTTAGTAATAAAACTTACAGCTATTTGCTCCCCAGACGACACAGTACCGACAAGATAACAAGCTTGCTTTACTTCATTCTGTTTGTGCAACATCTCAATGTACAAAGTTTGGTAAGCAAACAATTATAATTATTCTGTTGTTTTCATGATTTTCCACTTTGATAAACTTTCTTACTTTTTTGTTTAACTTAAAAAATGCTTTCACCAATGACGAAACATTACCATTGGAAATGTTAATTATATATGTAAGCGGTGTGTTTATCTATTTTCTCCATCATATGTTTGACGCCATATTGCACACAATTTCGAGTGTTTACGCAATGTGTTTTGTACGTAAGGAAGCCCCAGGATATACACTACCTGTATCAAATTTATAAACACTTAACATTCTACATTATAAGGTCTATTGTATTTACTGACACGTAGTGGAAATCACATTTCGTTTTCCACAGCCAAACCTCGGGATGTTCTAAAGTGCATCCTCAAATAGCGTGAGAAATGCACCTTTGTTAATACATATGAGACAACTCTACTTGTAAAATTATAATAAGATATACAATTAACCGTACATGTACAATGATATAAAAGACAACATGAACTTAAAACGAATTTATAAGCCAACATTTGCCTTCCACTATCATTTTCATGAAACAAAAATAAATAAATAGGGAGCTTTCAATGATTTTTGTTTCACGAATATGACACGTATATGGAAAATACGTGTGAATTTGTTGGGACATTACGTGTAAATGGCCTTGACAATCACATGTCGCTTCTCCATTGTGTCGTCACATACTAGTATTCCCAATAGGTAACTTATTATATATCGACATTATATGGGCTTTCTTCCTTCTTATATGGTGACAACATGTTCATTGATAAGTAAATAGTTAAAACACTCAGTTTTCCGAAACATGTAGGCCAAGGAAATTCTGCTCGGGCACCTTGTACGACTTGTAAGAGGATACCTGAAAGGCAATCCATGGCACAATTGTGCTTACGCGACGTTAGACAATTTGTTAAACGAGTGACATTTATTACCTCACTACAACACTGACAAAGTAAGTGACCAAGCGACGGCATGAAAGTAGGGTCAAGTTTCTGTGAGACGTCTTATTCACAGTGTACAATGCACTGCTTCATCAGACGCTACTTTTCTGGCACCTAATGCAGTAATATTCTTATTGCTTCTTCCTCTTAACAAACAACACACATTTAACACACGTCGGTATCGTATCACCATACACAGATATAAAGTAGTGCTAAAGGTAACACTTGTAACATTGCCCCTTACACTATCAATACAATCAATAAATATTCAGGTTTGAGACATCTTAACTTTCATCAAGCAATATTAAATAGGTTGAATAGCAATTAAGTTATATTTGCATTTATATATATTATGTACTATTGTATATATTCATTTATTTTTTATTATTTGTATTTATATTTTAGCATCAGCCATTTTGAATCTCGAAACTTAGAAGTATTTGGATGTAAAATGCACCCAAAAATACAGGTTCATCAAAGTGAAACACGTTCGATTTGTAATAAGAAAGAAGTGGATTTATTAAGACATGAATACAACCAATAACTCATTATAGATACTTTTCTAAATATATATATTCATTAGAAAGTATTATTGTTTACGCTATTTCGTATGGCATTCATGTCAGGAAGGTGCCCGAAGGATAACATAATAAATTATATTGATTTATTATATTTTCACCAGTCAAACATCAGGAATCATTCATTTGATAAAAACTAAATTCTTAACTGCGATGAATATTTATGAAGTGTTATATCTTTGCATTCATATGAAGATATCACTTTAGATATTGTCTAGTCAACCCTGTACTTTTTATTCACTGCGTAGATTTTCTTCAGATGAAGAGACGGCATAATAAGTGGCTGTTTTGTTACACCTTTGAATTATACGGTACGATGTTAACATATTAACTAAACAATTGATATTACTTTTGTTTCAGGGCAGCGAACGACAGAGTTACGTTAAGTAACCCGTTAAAAATGGCGCTATGTCTTGGTGCCAAGAGTGACGTAGGAAAAACTTGGCGTCAAATATCACGCCACTGTTTCCCGCGCTTTTTTATGCAGCAATATTTGCGACATATTCCTTTAAAAAGAAATGTAATGAAAGTAAACAATAATAGATTTCACCATTGAATATCATATATTTTTCACTCCTATGATTTTACAGAGATGTTTTACTCGTGCTTTGTACACGTGAAAAATATTTATATTCTGGCATGAAATATATACATTAATAAACGTAAAACCATTAAATATCCCTTTTTTCAATTAACACGATAAAGCTATATTATGTATTATCATTATTATAATGTTGCCAATGCATGAAAAACTTGATAACAGGTAGAATACTTACTTAAAATAATGTACAAACAGCATCTAAATCTGATACTAATATACGACCGCCTGCTGAGGGAAATCTATCCATTACATCGAACCTGATAATCTCTGATCGGTATCATGATCTACAAATCTACTTTGCTATGTAAGGAGAACCTGTGTTACATTATTATAAAGTGAGGAGGTAATATATTTTTACCCGAATTTCACCTAGAGCGGTAAGATAATGATCACATCCTCAAGACGTTGTAACATAGCTTCCTATAATATCATGGTTCTAAAAATAAATTTCCGAGTCTGGAATATTAAGACACAGTATATGCAAATTCACAAATTATTTTCATGTTCTGTTCAACTAGTTAATTAATAATTTCATATGTAGATAATTAGAAATCCTGTTTTATTACAGACCCTGCAGAGTGAAATTGTATTAGTGTAATATGTTTGATAATATGTTGATTGATATACCTAATGCTTACTTTCATGTAAAGTTATATTCCTGCTGAGAAAGTTAAGGTCAATCACAAAAGAACGTACTTGTACAGTGTTGAGGGAAATGCATGTGAAACCTTCAACGGATACTGAAGGTTTTGCATTTTTAGTGTGTGCTAATTAAATATGATAGCCTTCCACATGTTACTTTGAAGTTTACGCTTGTCTTACGAGGAGAGGTATCATGTTTTATCAAATCTAATTGATCTACACCCACATTTTTGTTAACTATAGCATCCCAATCTTGGTTTCTTTTAAATATTAATTACAAATCCCTACCATGTGTCTTCTTACATGTATAAATATCATACTTAAGTAGGTTATACCTGAACAGATGCGCCAATATACCTCTTTAAGTAAAATTATGTGTCCTATGTACCAATTTACTAATTGACCAGAATTTCTACTGACAATTTTGTCCTCTTTACCTATAAACTGCTTACGCTTTTTAAAACTGAATAGATATGTTCTGTTTACCAATAACCAATAAGTTTTGTTTTGTGTTGATATGTCATCGTTTCCTATTGCTGTTCATTTGTATTTATTTTGGAGCTTTCATTTTGTCTCCATGTGCCGATACTGTGGAGTATCCTGTTTCATTTCCCTTCCACTTGTAAGAATTATATGTATAAAACACAAGGATAAAATAGGACTCAAACATGATACGAAAATACATCAAATTGAAGTGAAATGCTCCGAGACTGTTCATTTGCGTGAAAGCAATAAGGAAGTTTGCAGACGATCGAATTTATGAAATATATATTTAGACAACTTCGGTGTTTGCAGTGAAGATATATACGATCTGCGATAAGTCAATCCTCATTTGAAGGAAAGCCCATAGGTCACCATCGTTTTAAGGTAAAGTGAACATTGGTCTTGTTTCTGGTTAGATACTGCTATATTATTGACTGCAATAACGTCAGGATGACGATCGTGCAATGAACATAAAAATTCATCATTATTTTATCATTAAAAATCATATGTCAACTTCTGCATGAAAAGAATTACATTACTCACTTTGAGCAAAATGCAAGAATAATTACGTACTTTCTTCGACTTGTTCAAAATACTAGGAAACGATATCTAGCAAATCATTGTTTACCAAACATAGGGACAATTATATCTGGTTAAATGTTGTACTGACTTTGGTTCATGAATTCTACATATCACAAGTGAAAAACTAGGAAAATATTTCACAACCTTTGAAACACATGCAGATGCATAAGGTTTATATGTCCTGTACGAGGAACAAGCTACCAAGGTGTATATGTCCTGTACGAGGAACAAGCTACCAAGGTGTATATGTCCTGTACGAGGAACAAGCTACCAAGGTGTATATGTCCTGTACGAGGAACAAGCTACCAAGGTGTATATGTCCTGTACGAGGAACAAGCTACCAAGGTGTATATGTCCTGTACGAGGAACAAGCTACCAAGGTGTATATGTCCTGTACGAGGAACAAGCTACCAAGGTGTATATGTCCTGTACGAGGAACAAGCTACCAAGGTGTATATGTCCTGTACGAGGAACAAGCTACCAAGGTGTATATGTCCTGTACGAGGAACAAGCTACCAAGGTGTATATGTCCTGTACGAGGAACAAGCTACCAAGGTGTATATGTCCTGTACGAGGAACAAGCTACCAAGGTGTATATGTCCTGTACGAGGAACAAGCTACCAAGGTGTATATGTCCTGTACGAGGAACAAGCTACCAAGGTGTATATGTCCTGTACGAGGAACAAGCTACCAAGGTGTATATGTCCTGTACGAGGAACAAGCTACCAAGGTGTATATGTCCTGTACGAGGAACAAGCTACCAAGGTGTATATGTCCTGTACGAGGAACAAGCTACCAAGGTGTATATGTCCTGTACGAGGAACAAGCTACCAAGGTGTATATGTCCTGTACGAGGAACAAGCTACCAAGGTGTATATGTCCTGTACGAGGAACAAGCTACCAAGGTGTATATGTCCTGTACGAGGAACAAGCTACCAAGGTGTATATGTCCTGTACGAGGAACAAGCTACCAAGGTGTATATGTCCTGTACGAGGAACAAGCTACCAAGGTG